CTCCATAGATATAGACAAAGACACCCCCTGTAGGCTACTTGAAAAACGAGCGTGCGGGGGAAAATGTTACAAATGGGAAATAAAAAGCCATCTCTTAAGGAGTTAAATGGCTGGACACTGCAAAGTTCATCCCATGAGGTATAACCTACCCAACTTTCATGCATTTTATAAATGGCACGATAGGCTACACATTAAAATGTCATACAAGTAGGCCTAAAAGCAAAAAAAAAAAAAAAAAAAAAAAAAATGTGCCATCATTACATTAGTTATAAGAGCTCCCCACCATTAGGACTACATTATAACGAGCCCAATTTTTATACTAAACGCTCATTATATTTTTTTCGTCCCTCACTCGAGTTCGGCTCTGTCACTTTCAATTTAAAAATGTTCTGTCACTTATAGGCCTAAATTAAAATGTTAAACGGTTTATCCAGCGCGCGTATGTAAAATAATGGCCACGCGTTTTTACCATCCCTTTTTGCTTTATTCGAATTTAAGTATTTTGAATCCGTATTACAGAATAGTGTCGTCAGAATAGGTTTCAACGCATCCGTATTAATATGGTAACATGTACAGCAGCATATTTGCATCCATTAGGAGAGTTAGTTGTTCCAAAATATCCTAACCTCACCACCAAGCATGATGTGTGAGTGAATGAATTGATGGAAGACTTTTGCGATAAAATGGGAAAAATTTATACGTCTTCCGTTACCTTTTATTGAGCGATAACAATACTGTATACCTTCGGTATTCGCAGACAGATTGAAACCCATACTAGGCCTATATACCAGACATATTAATAACACAGTTCGACAGCAGTGTGAAAATCGTTATTGTCTTAAGAAAGTACGCCCTCATTTTCCGGGTTCGAATCTAAGTGCGTTTACATTTTCATTAGCCTTTCCTTAACAAATATCCTGCGTAAGCATTTTAAATGGCTGATATTGTGCTATGCTATGACAGCGCATCAGAATAGTTCATTTGATTCCCTGGGGTAGCCGATCAGCTAGCCTTATTCGAGCGTAAGTTTGAGAGCGACGATCGCCGATCAATTGGGTCTTTTCACATTTTATCGTCTACCGTCGGATTGCTTCACACTAGGTACGCCGATAGTAGGAGCGTTAATGGGGCGAGATGAAAAAGGCGTCTTGGTTAGCTTTAGGTGCTCAGTAATTATTATTTGAGGTCCAAGATGGTGAGTACAGATTAATTGTCTTCTTAACCAACCATTTCGTTTATTAATCGGATTTATAAACCATTTTGCCTATAATCTTACAATCATTAGATATTCAGATAGTGGACATTATAGCGCTGACGGAGTCCGGAGCACCCAAGGCGGCATATACTGCCTTTCAAGTAATTTGAAGCACAATTCCTAATGTTGAATAAATGATTGTAGCATAGGCTTAAATCTAATTGAATTTTAATATTTCGTTAATATGACTACCGAATTCTCCAGATTTTTGTAAACTCCGGTTAATGAGGCACTTCAGAATTCGATTGTGCTGAAATCAGTTACACCTCTGTAACATGGCGGATCCAGGAATTCGAGGTACATGGATCTAGATGGAGGGACTTTTAAAGATAAATTGTCTTTAAACAACAAGGTATTTAGGCAATACATAACATTTTGAATGAAGAAACTGAAATGAATGTTTTCCGTAATTAGATGGAGAAAGGGGAAAAAGATAGGCTACTTAATATGAAAATTGGAGTATAATAAATACACATTATACTGTACGTGCCTTTCTATTTGGCCAAATTATTAAACAAAAGCTTTAATAGAACTGTTGAATAGTATTATACAACAGCTTTATATTTCACACTACACCAATATTAATATATCGATGAACTGTCAAACGGTATTAGCGCTTTGACCGCTTATAATAAAGTAATAT